CATTCGAATTCATAGTGGCATTTTGGATGCGATTTGGTCATGAGTGACTTGGGAGCCCCGCCGTTGTAGAAGTCAGTGTTTTTGTCCTCTCAGATATGGCTTGTACCAATTCACCAGAGGGGCACAAGTCTTGGTTGACTTGCACGGTTTCCGCTCCAGAATTTGGAGTAGTAGGTGGAGAGGTAATTCTCTAATAGTATCTGAACGAGTTAGATTTCAAGCAATTGAGTTTTGAATTCGAGCTAAAATGTGAGCTAAGATTTCTTACGATTAGTGCAGAGCGCAGAGGAAGAAGATGGTCAATTGACTTCTTGAGTTCGCTTGGATCAGGATCATTCTGTAAGTCTTTACATGGAGCGAAAGAACTGATATGCAGGAAGAATCACTGAAGACCAGGCTTGGTGTGGTCATGGCTCTCGTTCAAGCTCATTCCGTGTAACGAGCTTCTCTACGTGTTGGCTCGCTTTTTGATTTCAGAAACTAGCACTTTTGGCATATTACTTATATGTCCCTTGTAAAGACCTATAGGGTGAGGGTCAGGAAATAGCCATTGAGACTTTTTCTGAACGAATTAAGAACATGACAGTCATCTTCTGGATACAGTCAGGGTGCGTGGTCACGTCACCGTAGTATATGGCACGATTCTCAGCGATCGTCCTTCTTCGTGCATTAATGCGAAATACCTCTCTGAAGGGATGGAGGAGGTGCGGTATGTTGCAAATCAGGGCCGTAACGCTACTAATCCGCTTAAGTGTTGTGCGTATACCGCGTTATCATAAGTGTGGCGCCGCGAAACAGGATGTTATCCGCACTGTCGCCTGCTCTATCGTCAAGTTATATAATAACTCACAGTGAGGGTGAGAAATGGCTTCTGTGAAAGCGCGTTCTGAACAGGGTCTCCTTACAAAATGCACAGATCAGGGGTAGGATGTATTCTTGCTGAAAATTGGTCGACAAAATGCCGGTGAGAAAGACCCCCTGTTTTGTACAGATGAGCACAGAGGATGGACATGTCAGTTGTTGAGCCCCGTATAAGGGAATATGAGCAATAGAGGATGAACGAATTCATTGGACCCCACCCCTGAAATTCACAAATTTGAAAAAAATAACCTAATGTTCGAAGGGTACCTTCCCATCAAAACGACGATGAGATAAGCTTACTTCTGCATCAATCAAAGCAATGAGATTATGTACGAGCAACGTGGTTTACTTGGCGAGGAACAGATCTAGAGAGAAATTGGTATTTCTGAGGGTTGAACAAAGGACCGGGATCGGGTATGAGCTTTTTAAGCGGGGTGGGGTCTTACTAAGTAATGATGCATCATTGGGTGCTGAATGCCGGATCGTATTCCCCTTCTGCATGTTTTTTTTCTGGATATTTGCCAATACGGAGGTTTTTAAGGGTCATTTAATTTTAAATATTATTATGCACCCTAAGCAGTTTGGTTATCAACAAACGTCCTCCCAAGGATTGGAGAATTTTTAGGCCTGAGCGGAATCCGATACGTGGATCGCATTTCTGCGGCATAGCGATATTATTACCTTGCATCATTAATATCATTTCTGGCCTCTAATTCTTGACAAGAAACACAGTGTATAGTAATATTCCTTGATGTTTCATAGTTATTATGTTTCAGTTTCAGTAATTGTTATAGTAATTTTATAGTCAACATCGATAGGTCTTTGTTTTTACTCCACCTAAACGTTGTGCGATCTATACATTACACTCAAGAAGTTGTTGCCTCGTTATCGTCAGAACTAGTTGTTTTTCGCGCCTGTTTTATAGATGTTTATAGTGTAGCGAATCAACCCAGATAAGTGAGCGCACTCGTCGCCTTGAGTTTGCCATACTGGAAGGGAATTGTGGAATATTTGCAGTT